CGCCCCCCACATGCGCGCCAGTAATAATCGTGTCACCGTAAAATGGACGGGCGTACCTACTTCGACAGGAAGCAACGGCAAAATCATGAATGAGAAGTTCAAAGCCTCAAAGAGACAGTCCCACGCAGGTTGGGCACGTGTGATTGCGCGTTCGAAGACCCACAGCGTAGCAAAAATACACGCATCAAACTAAAATATAACCCCATGCATGTAGGTGCGCCCATATACCGAGAGACAGAAGGTGTGCGGTGCATTAGGCGCGGCTTGCTCTCTCTCCTGCCTATCGAGCGTGTCTGCTCCGACACGCGCACACCCACTCTCTCTCAACCCCCCCACACCCCCCCTCGATCGGCACTCACGGCTCGTGATTTTTGTCCCACCCCCCCTGCTACGGGGGGGGGACTAATTACAACTGTTTGCTCGAATAAAAATCCATCGCCGTGTCTATGTGTATATATACATCATGGGCGCAATTGTAGGGTATAAATGCGACACTCACCCGGGGCTCGAGCAGAAGGGGGGAGGGCCGGGCCAGCGGGGTCCAAGAGCGCCGAGCTCCCGCAAGCTCGCCGAGGGCCGACATCGGCCTCCACCTCCTCAACGCATGATCCCCCGAAATCAATCCCGTGGCTCGGGTGCTTCTTCCTTATTCCTCGCTTCCCGTGTGCAAGCGGCCTCGGGAGTTATGTATGCCGACACACTGACACACAGAGGGACACACACGCGCACAGAGATGGGGAGGGACACAGAGGGACACTGACGGGTATATGATTATTCCCCGGTCGGCGATGCCCCGAACGGGGCTGTTGCACTACGGTATACTGCCTTTTACTCCGCTGCTCCCTTTATTTCCCGCACACTCCTCCTCCTCCCTCCCCCGCGCCGGCCTTTCCACACGCGTGCACCGCACGGTATTCACCCTGCGCGCGCGACCACTGCACGCGCTTCTTATTAATATCTCTTCGCGAAGCAGTCTCTTTCACTTGCGTACACGCGGTGATCGGACGAGACGACAGAGGGTAACAAAAAAGAAAGGAAGGAAAGAAAGGAAGGAAAAAAGAAAAACGAAAGAAAGAAAAAAAAAAAAAAAAAAAAAACACAACGAGGAAAAAAAAAAATAGTAAGCGCGCAACACTGGGGGAGCTTTCGGAAGCTCGGGGCAGGCGCCTAGAGGGGCCAGCGTCCCGGCGCGCCAATGTAAGCAGCAGCAGTGGCAGCACCGACACTCGGGGCGCGACAACGACGGGGATGCGAGAGCCGAGGAGCTTGCGCGATCGACAAGACCGCACCACCGCCAGCAGCGGCCGACCTCGAGTCCGCCATCTTTCTTGGTCCCCCCCCAGTGACTGTACTGCTCCGCCGCTGCTTTACCGTGCCACCGCTGCCCAACGCACTGCCGCTCCTGCGTAGCCCTCTCGCAAGCACTACCTACCCTACCCTCTTCCTACAGCATCGGCAGCGCGAGCTGCTCCCCCCCCCCTTACGGCGGCGCGGCGCGAGAGCTTTTCGGGCGCTTACATATATACATGTATACTCTCGCCCTTTTTTTTCGTGTGTGTGCTTTCCGTACATGGCGCGGGGGGGGGGGGCTCATCCGCGGGTAAGAGAGATGTCGCTGTTGCAATGGGCGAGGGAGCAGAGGAGAGCGGCCGATGAAGCCCCCATGCAAGCTCGCGCTGGCCAGAGACGGAGCTTTGTCCGGAGTGTATAGTCTGAGTGAGGGCCATACGTTCGGCCAATGAGAGGGTTGAGGCTCGAGTGTGACCCGCCAATGAGGGCCAAACGTCGCGTTGGCCCCTACTGGGTGTGTACACGCGTACAGTGGCCGTTTGTCCAACCGAGGGGTCGTTTTTTCGATTTTGGGATTAAAATTTGACGGGAACTTCTTGCTTTCGACGCAGCCTGTACTTTTGTTTTGCCACATTTTCAATCTTAAGAAGATCAGAAGCATACAAAGTGTTGGCGCGAACTTTACAATAAACAACAAATAGATCATTCACGGGAAACGAGCTTTTCATTCAAATTCGCCAAGCACCGACAGACATTTTGTAAATAACATTGTTCCTTTAAACTTTCGAAATATCTTTTACCTAAGATAATAAAGCGATCGTATAAAGTCTCGAAGATACACTAGTTTTTGAAAGTAAATCGAAGCGAAAAAAAAGGCCTTTTTTCGATTCCATTAGAGTCGAAATGGCATTTTGTCGTCTTTGATTGTGCTGCCAAGTGAATGGTAAAAGAAAAAAATGGTCCTTTTTAAAAAAGTACTCTATATGCCCGTTCAAGGCCTGTTTCTCCTTCTACTTGTTTTTTCCATCTTATAATGAAGGAAAAAAACAAATTTGCTCCCATCAACAAATATGTACATAATAATCCTCAAGTAACCAAATGGACCGTGATTGCACAAATAATAAGAAAATAAGTCAGCCTTAAGCACATAAAAAACTGCGAGCAGTCGCATTTAGCAACTCCATGGCTGTACACACATGTCATATCCACAACTAGCAATCATCCAGAAATTATGAAAAAAAAACGAAAAAAAAAAAAAAACGAATATAAGAGATGAACATCCAGCATATCGCGTCCTCCAATTTCTGTTACTTCAATATATTATACTGCGTAGTGTAAACAAGTATACCGAAATGACCTTCACGCTTTCTTTGATTCCACAGCACTTGCTCTATACTTACCCTTCGATTTCACAATTCCTCGTATAATATACGATAATGTCACGCTTCGCCTGTAAAAATGACCTACTTGAACATAATCACATAATACGCGTGTACACGTACGTGGAAAAAAAAAAAAAAAAACATTCCAGAAGATGGAACAGCAATTCCTTACGATTCCAGGAAAAAAAAAAAACGTGTCCCTAATTGCCTGATCGACGTAATAAGTGTATAAGCTGTGTGTGTACATACATATACCTATATAAGTAACGCGCGAAGAAAGCTTACGGGTAGTGAAAAACTAATACCCGTGCGGGGGGGGGGGGGGGATCAACGCGCACACCTCGTACATGGGGTAAATACAGGTGATTAACGTGCATATCTTTACAATGTATATACGCCTCGTTGCGAAGCACCTAAGCTTTACACGTACAATTGAATCGTTCGTGCTTAATGTGGGGGGTTCATGAATGAATTATCCGACTGCACCGTGTAACTTTGCCCTGCAGCATATATATGTTGTGTGTCCGGTTGGTGGTGACTGACCGGGTCTTCGCGCGGTTAACGCGGGTTATTTATTATTGATGCTGTTCGTGTGGTGTGGGGTAACAGGTAAAGTGTACCCAAGTGCGGATGGTTGCGAAATGTACGTCATGGGTATATAAGGCGGGACTATAGGTATAACTGCGTACAAATGGATTGTCATGAAAATTTTATGATGCTTCGACGTGGCAATTTTGTTTTAAAAGAAAGTGTTTTACAAGTGTCGGTACATCGTATGAATATACGATCAAACGTTTAACTATTGTTAATTTGACGAAATCGAGCTTGAAAAAAAAAAAAAAAATATGGCTATAATCTTTCAATGTTCTCTCGAACATGTTACAGATTTTACAAAAATTATCGGTTGTGTATTTAGTAAAATGATATTCTTTAAACAAACAGTTGCCTCGTCTTTAAGCCTTTTCCTTTGATACTAAAATATTAATGAAATATTATGTATTATTAACTATGATTTTGATAGAATGATTGCATCCTTTTTTTATAATACTAACAGAAAATGCAGCTGGGAGTGGTAACGCAGAACTCATTCAGAGTCCTGAAGCTTAACATTAGATTTACATGTTATTTTTATACGTAATAAATCTGTGTGATTATTATTTTAATATTCTACGTGTTGAGTAAATAGTAAAAAAAATGTTAACTAAATTGTAAATAATTCATGATTTACAATTGGAGCGATACTTTGAATTCTTTTATCTGATCATAGGGTCTAATATGAAAATTTATACTGTACTTCGTATGGATGTATTTGCTTGTTTTAATTATTATTTAATACAGTATTTGTTGTTGCAAAAGTAACAAATGATGTAAGTTTGTATGATTCAATTAGTTTTCATACACATTTACTTATGTAAAATGTATAATTGTAAATTGAATATAGTAGAAATACGATGTATGATACAATACCCAAAATATGAAAAATGCCAACACATAACAACAAACCCCCGACATTATGTATCTACACTACTTGTAACAACTAATACATCAATTTGGTTATTACATCAAAAACACCATTCAATAAAGAAAAAAAAAAAAAATTTTCTCAACAAATTTCTAGTGTTTAATTCTATGAACCATGCTGTATCATCCAACAAAAGATGTCAAAATAGTAAAAATTATAAAAAAGTGATACTTTAAAACCCAATTAGCACATAAACTTTGATACTAACTGACAGTGTATGGTATGGATACATAATGCATAGATATATTGTTAGCCTTGTGTTTGAACTTTTAAATATCTTTAAACATTTTAAAAAGATGAGCGATCAAATCGAGTAATGATTAAACAATTTATTTTTAACGTAAGCCTGATGCATAAGCAACCATCGGCTTTATAACCATTCATTATACCACTAGCCCTTTCGAACTTTGAATTGAAGAGAAATAGAAATAGTTAAACACAATTTTTGTTGTAGTATTCGTCCGTACCATACATTACTTGAGTGATTTTAGGGACACCCACTATCACTTTTGTGTGGAGGGTTGTAGACCCCCAACCCCATCGGTAAACCTTCGCCTCATTTCTTATCATTTAACCTAAACCAAATACGCCCGTTCCATTTTACCCAACTGTTCTGTATCCCTTTTTCCATCCTATATATTCACATGTTCTTCCCCACCTTCCACAAATCTCGTACCTACTCAGGGTGCTCGCGGAGCCTACCTCTGTGTCGCCCTGTGGTGCACAACCATCTGCATCCGGTTTTGTTATTTTTTGTAAGTCTAAAAAATGTTACAAAATGAAGTTTTCTTGGAGTGCATACATATATCTAAATTACTGAGAAAGGGAACAAGAGAATAATGGTAATAATTGAAAAAAACTCTTAGAAAAGTGTAAAGCTTATCTTACGTCCGATTTTTGGCAACAAACTATGAAAGTATAATGTATAAATTCTATATACATATCCACATTTAAAGAATATGCGGGTGGACGTTAATCACGTATTGAAATTGTCGTTAAAAGAATTGATATTTCAGGTATTGTAAAGAGATGAGAACTTTGGGTGTTGTATATCGAATGAAAAATAAAAAATTCTTCAATACTTAGATATGAATGGTTTTATTGGCAAAAACATAAGTTATACATACGTGATACTCTAGCATATATACAATTAATGGATCAAAAGTGTACAATTATTTCTGAGTAGTATTTTACGTATTAAAAATATTGTTTTTTACACTTTTATAATACCAATAATTAGTGAGAGTATTTAGTGAGAGAATTTTTTTTAAGTTTAAAAAATTAAATATAAAATAAATTATTGATTAGTTTATTAAGTAGTAGTCACTCTAATAAATGAGCCAAAAATTCTTGAAAATGCGCACTATTACAGTAACATGCCATCTAACGTCAGTTCATCATACCAAAGGATGAAAATACATATAAGTTACTTATTCGTGAGTGATAAGAGTGCTGTCTTCATTACCACTATATAGTAACAGGAATACAAATTCATTCTTTTTTTTGTTAATATTTTCCATTCTAATATTTTTTATTTTATACGTGTACATTTATTAACTATAAGTAATTTTTCTCGTTTTCAGTTGCATACCAATAACATTTTTAACTAAAAAAAACCTCCGCTGAAAAATAAACTACGAAAAAAAAAAAATATATGTGTATATATGTATATAGTAACAGGAATACAAATTCATTCTTTTTTTTGTTAATATTTTCCATTCTAATATTTTTTATTTTATACGTGTACATTTATTAACTATAAGTAATTTTTCTCGTTTTCAGTTGCATACCAATAACATTTTTAACTAAAAAAAACCTCCGCTGAAAAATAAACTACGAAAAAAAAAAAATATATGTGTATATATGTATACACAATAACCCTTAAATTATGTAAATAATATAAGGGGGAGCTTTCGGAAGCTCGGGGCAGGCGCCTAGAGGGGCCAGCGTCCCGGCGCGCCAATGTAAGCAGCAGCAGTGGCAGCACCGACACTCGGGGCGCGACAACGACGGGGATGCGAGAGCCGAGGAGCTTGCGCGATCGACAAGACCGCACCACCGCCAGCAGCGGCCGACCTCGAGTCCGCCATCTTTCTTGGTCCCCCCCCAGTGACTGTACTGCTCCGCCGCTGCTTTACCGTGCCACCGCTGCCCAACGCACTGCC